GGAGGGCTCGGTCCTGCTGGTGTTGGAGGTACTCCTGGACGTGCTGCTGGTGCTGGAGGTGCTGGAGCTGCTAGTCCTGGAGGTATTTCTGGTGTTGGAGGTGCTGGAGCTGCTAGTCCTGGAGGTACTGCTGGTGCTGGAGGTGCTGGAGGTGCTAGTCCTGGAGGTACTACTAGAGCAGCTGCTGGTGCTGGAGGTGCTGGAGCTACTAGTTCTGGAGGTCCTGGAGGTACTGCAGGTGCTGCTGGTGCTGGAGGAGCTGGAGTTGCTAGTACTGGAGGTGCTGGAGCTGCTAGTCCTGGAGGTACTGCTGGTGCTGGAGGACGTGGAGCTGCTGGTGCTGCCGGTGCTGGAGCTGCTGGAGCTGCTGGTCCTGCTGCTGGTGCTGGAGGTGCTGGAGCTGCTGGTCCTGCTACTGGTGCTGGAGGTACTGGAGGTGCTGCTGGTGCTGGGGGACGTGGAGCTGCTGGTGCTGCTAGTGCTGGAGGTGCTGGTCCTGCTGCTGGTGCTGGAGGTGCTGGAGGTGCTGCTGGTGCTGGAGGACCTGGAGCTACTGGTGCTGCTGGTGCTGGAGGTACTGGAGGTGCTGGTGCTACTGGTGCTGGAGGTGCTGCTGGGAGTGCTGGAGGAGCTGCTCGTGCTGGAGGTACGGGAGCTGCTGGTGCTCTTCGCCACATTCTCAGTCTTCCGCCAGGTGCTACTGACTTCCCTGTGGCAGGTACTACTCCTCCGTTACTGTTTCCACCGGCAGACCAGTCACAGCCGCCGCTGCTACCGCACTCCCCACTGCCTGCTCCTGCTCCTTACACTGCAGTGACACAGTCCCTGCCTGAGCGTCGAGAGCCTGAGACTCATGCTTCCACCCCTGAGCGTCGAGAGCCTGAGTCTTGCTTTGACCTTGAGCCCGAGCCTAGAGCTGCTGTCCGTGCTCGTGTTCCTCGTGTTCGTCGTCAGCGTGCTCCGGCTGTCCGGGGCACTAACGATATGACACTCCGTCCTTCCTCTGTTCCACAGCGTGTTGTCCTGCTGTTACCTCCTGCGTCCTCTCTTCCTGACGTTGCTGACCCTCCGTCTGAACTTGCTCGTGCGTCCAGTCCGACTGTTACTCGCTTTCTTGCTACGGTTGTGACTGACCCTACGTTCTCGTCTCCTGCTGCGTCTGCCTTAGTCGCTGAGCTCGTTGACTTTGGTGCTGTGTACCGCCTAGACTACCTTTTGAGTCTTGTTTTTGACCCTGTCCCTGCCTGTCCTCCGTCCGTCGAGGGTGAGACTGCCCTTGGCTGTACGGCCCTTGGCTGTCACGTTCTTGAGGACAGGCAGGAGGAGCTGGAGTGCCTTGCGGCCGCTGTACCTCATCTCGCTGCCATGCTGCTTGCTCCTGAGGGAGACCCGCCTGCACTGGACATCCCCACCCCGCACTCTTATAGAGAGGCGATCTCGGGTGAGTACTCCTCTCAGTGGCAAACAGCCATGGACGCAGAGATGGCTTCCTGGAAGTCCACAGGCACCTACGTCGACGAGGTTCCCCCACCTGGGGCGAACATCGTCAATGGCATGTGGATTTTCAGGGTGAAGCGGCCGCCGGGTTCTCCGCCTGCCTTTAAGGCACGTTACGTTGCTCGAGGCTTCAGTCAGCGTGCGGGAGTCGACTTCTTTCAGACCTTCTCCCCCACCCCGAAGATGACCACTCTTCGGGTGTTGCTACACGTTGCAGCGCAGCGTGACTACGAGCTGCACTCCCTCGACTTCTCGACAGCTTTCTTGCAGGGTAGCCTTCACGAGGCCATCTGGTTGCGCCGTCCACAGGGCTTCACTGGGTCGTTTCCTGCGGGTACCCAGTGGAGCCTACGGCGACCAGTGTACGGCCTGCGTCAGGCACCCCGCGAGTGGCACGACACACTGAGGACGACACTTGTGGCTCTTGGGTTTGCTCCTTCCACTGCTGACCCGTCGCTGTTCCTACGCACTGACACCACTCTGCCGCCGTTCTACATCCTCGTGTACGTAGACGACTTGGTCTTCGCTACTGCTGACACTGAGGCACTGGCCCGCGTGAAGACGGAGCTGCAGGAGAGACACACCTGCACTGACCTGGGTGAGCTGCGGAGCTATCTTGGCTTGCAGATCACCCGGGACAGAGCACGGCGCACCATCACCCTGACTCAGTCACACATGGTGCACCAGGTTCTTCAGCGCGTTGGCTTCACGTGGTCCTCGCCACAACCCAGTCCTCTGTCTACCGGCCACTCGCTCTCAGCTCCACCTTCGGACGAGTCCGTAGAGTCGAGTGGTCCGTACCCAGAGCTTGTGGGTTGCCTCATGTACCTGATGACGTGCACACGACCTGACCTCGCTGTCAAGATGGTACTAGGCTTAGTAGCCTAGGGTAGAAGGAGATTAACGAGAGAAGAGGGCTTCACTATGGAGAGGGTCACAACATATAGGGTAGGAAAGAGGGTACACCACCAAGCAGGAAATCAGGATAACTACACTAACTACATGCAGTTATAACAACATTATTCTGACATCCCCCCTTAACTGCATGTAGGAATAGCAAAGTGCAAAGCACAACCTGCAGGGGTACACAAAGCCGAACAAAGCAGTAGCACGCAAAAGCAGTAGCAACCTGGTGCAACAGTGGTAGATACAGCTGCAGAAATCCCTTAGCCAAGACGAAAGACGAAAGACGAAAGGGGGGAGCATGCATGCGGTGCAGGTAGCCTGGAGAGCGGCGTGCGGTGGCACAGCAGGCTCAACGGCAGCAACTGCGCCAACAGCAGCAGACGAAAGACGAAAGGTGGCGACAGGGGCTGCAGCTATAGGTGCCACATTAGTAGTGGGCGGCAGCTGCAGATGCGTGGCTGCTGTTTCCACCACTCTCTCTTACCCTCCCCCCCTGCTCAGCAGTGAGAGAGAGAGGAGGAGGGGCGGTTGCTGGCTCGGCAGAGTCTCTCCCGCCACCCCTTCATTGCATGTCCCCCCTTCACTCGCCACCCACTCATCTCCCCCCTTCCCCCACGGCAGATGGCGCTGGAGCGCGGGGCTGGCGCTGGCGCTGGCGCTCGCGACCAGCGGCGAGGCAAAGGGGCAGCGCACGGGACGGGGGGACGAAACTGCGTTGGGTGACGGGGCGGGGGCGTGGGGCGACGAAACCGCGCGAGGCGACTGGGGGGGGGCGTGGGGCGACGAAACCGCGCGAGGCGACTGGGGGGGGGCGTGGGGCGACGAAACCGCGCGAGGCGACGGGCAGGGCGCAGCGGGGGCGCGACGGACGGGCAGGGCGCACGGGTCGCGTGCGACGGGCAGCGCGACGGTCAGGGGATGGGACGGGCAGCGCGACGCGCAGGGGACGCGACGCGACGGGCAGGGGACGGGACGGTCGTAGTGCGCCATAGGGACGGGTGGGCCCATTGATCTAAAAAAAAAAACTTGAAGGTTCTAGGAAAGAACCAGCTCTGAAACCATGTCAAGATGGTACTAGGCTTAGTAGCCTAGGGTAGAAGGAGATTAACGAGAGAAGAGAGCTTCACTATGGAGAGGGTCACAACATATAGGGTAGGAAAGAGGGTACACCACCAAGCAGGAAATCAGGATAACTACACTAACGCTAGAACTACATGCAGTTATAACAACATTATTCTGACACTCGCGTACCCTCTCAGCCTTCTGGCTCGCTATGTGGCTCCCGGTAGACACCGAAAGGTGCACTTTGATGATGCGAAGAGGGTACTGCGTTACTTGTGCAGTACATCGGGCATGGGGCTCGTGCTGGAGGACGGGGTTCAGTGGTACTCACAGGACACTCCGACGCTTCTTGGGCCGACGACCAGGCGACTCAGCGTTCGTCACAGGGTTACACCTTCAGTCTTGGCTCTGGTTCTGTCTCGTGGAGGTCCACTCGTTCTTCTTCTGTGCTTGGTTCCAGCTGTGAGGCCGAGATCTACGCTGGGGCCATGGCTGCACAGGAGCTCCGCTAGCTGACCTACCTGCTGACGGACTTGGGGGAGCGGCCTCGTTCTCCTCCAGTTTTGTACGTCGACAAAAAGGCAATGCTTGCCTTGTGTCGCGAGCAGAGACTGCAGCACAGAACGAAGCACATTGCTCTTCGCCACTTCCTTGCGCGTGAGCTGCAGCAGCGTGGTCAGCTGCGCCTTGCTTACGTGGCCTCTCGGGCCAACACTTCTAATGTCTTCACCAAGGCCCTTGGGTCTGGTGATCATCAGCGTTTCTGTACTGCTCTTGGGCTTGGTGGGTGTTCGCATGTTGGGTGTTCTACTCTGCCTCACCTGCTGGTTGCTTGACTTGCTCTTGTTGTACACTGATATATATCTTTATACCTGCATGTTTCCTCTTGCTAGGTTGTGATCAGTGTACTGCCTTGCTATTATACCTCTGCATGTGAACTGGCCGTGTGGCCGCTTGCTTGTGCTCAGATTGTGTGGTGTCCTTGAGATCCACCCTGAGCTTTGCTTTGTTCTCTTGCTTGAGTGGTCTTGTGACCATTTGCTTGTCTTGGTCATTCTGATCCCTCTCACTTAGGCTATGGGGGTGTGTCAAAGTTATATCATAATTCTTACTTAGCCTATAGTGAGATGCATCTTAGGGGGTACAACTTTTCCCGAGGTCAGCATGGTAAATTTTCAAGTTATGTGAGGTTGAAATAGTTTGGTGAAAGGGTGTGCGAAACTTATTTCGGTTGTGTGGCTTTGGCGAGATCAAGATTCTTCCGCGAGCAAGTGATCGTTTCGCGCACACCCAACATGCGAATCCCACCAACCCAAAGCGAAAAGTGTGTCGCATGAAGAGACTTTGTAGCCAATCCGAAGGTTTCACTCGCACCCTACCACCGTACGGTAAACACCGTACCGGGATCGCACCAATCCCTTACACATGGCCACTCTTACGACGAACATGAAAAGTGTGGCTACTAGATGCACATCTCCTCACCACTGATAGATGGCGTGGGCTCACCCAACCGTAGGAACTAGTAACTACAAGGAATGTTAGCTGTAGTACAGGCGTGTCGACATTCTAGAACCCTGCAGATAGAAGAGAGCCCACGCTGTAGGGTCCCCTCGAAACGCGCACCGGGCGGGGACCAGAGCGCTCACCGGGCGAAGGAACGGACCGCGCACCGGTCGAGGGTATGGTTGCGCGCACCTCGCGACGCTCAGCACGCGCAACCGGCGACGAGCAGCGTGCGCACTGGGCGACGAGCAGCGCCCGCTCTGGGCGACGCGCAGCCCTGCTTCCCCTCCTTTCCCCCCCTGCTTCCCCTCCTTTCCCCCCTTGCGTCCCCTCCTTTCCCCCCTTGCTTCCCCCCCTTTCCCCCCTTGCTTCCCCCCCTTCCCCCCTTGCTTCCCCTCCTTTCCGCCCCTGATTCCCCTCCTTTTCCCCCTTGCTTCCCCTCCTTTCGCCCCCTGCTTCCCCTCCTTTCGCCCCCTGCTTCCCCTCCTTTCCCCCCTGCTTCCCCTCCTCTTCCCCCTTGCTTCCCCTCCTTTCCCCCCCTGCTTCCCCTCCTTTCCCCCCTGTTTCCCCTCCTTTTCCCCCTTGCTTCCCCTCCTTTCCCCCCCTGCTTCCCCTCCTCTCCCCCCCTGCTTCCCCTCCTTTCCCCCCCCTGTTTCCCCTCCTTTCTCCCCTTGCTTCCCCTCCTTTCCCCCCCTGCTTCCCCTCCTCCGCCTGCTTCCCCTCCTTTCTCCCCCTCCTTTCCCTCATCTTCTCCCGCTGCTTGCCCCCTTCCCTCTACTCCCTCGTCCATTCTCCTCCCCTACCTCTCCCATCTTCCCTATCCCCCCGAATCCTTCTCTCCCCTTTTCTCCTCCTCCCCCTCTTCCTATCTCCTCCTTCTCCTCTTCCCCCCTCCTTTACCCCCCTGCTAGCCCCTTGCTGCCCCCATGCTAGCCCCCTGTTCCCTCTCTGCTAGCCCCCTCCTCCCTTCCTTCTAGACCCTTGTTCCCTCCCTCGTCCAATCTCCTCCCTTGCTCACTTCCTCTTTTCCGCACTTCCCCCCTTCCTCCCTGTCTCGCCTTTCCTCCCTTGCTTCCCCTCATTTTCCCCCTTTCTTCTCCTCATTTCCCTCCCTGCTTCTCCTCATTTCCCTCCCTGCTTCTCCTCATTTCCCTCCCTGCTTCTCCTCATTTCCCTCCCTGCTTCTCCTCATTTCCCTCCCTGCTTCTCCTCATTTCCCTCCCTGCTTCTTCTCATTTCCCTCCCTGCTTCTCCTCAATTCGAGTCCCTGCTTTCCCTGTTTGTACATGCTTCCCCTCATTTCCCCCCCTGCTTCCACTCATATCCACCCCTGCTTCCCCTCATTTCCCCCCCTGCATCTCCTCCTTTCCCTCACCCCCCCTCTTCCTATCCCCATTCCCTCTCACATCGTCCTATCTCCCTCTTCCCTATCTCCTCCTATCTCCTCTGTTTGACATTTTTCTTGTCCCCCCTCCCCATCCCTCGTATTCCCTCCCTCCCCCTGGCTATTGCAGTGACTACACTGAAGATTTTTCTGGTACTGCAACTCGTCTCAGCCCATCATCGCATGCCATGCTCGTAGCAAAACCAGTTTCCCTCATGATTTTTTTAAGGCCTTGAGAAAGGTACAATCAAAAGTATTAGGAACATTCCTCTATGTACCCTTGTGACACTCTTAGTGTCCATGCAACTTGGATGTACGCTTGTGACACTCTTAGTGTCCATGCAACTTGGAAGAATATAAATGCACTGCAAGAACAAAAGTACATATTGTGCCTTTGAGATGGACATCTTCAACAGTTTTACAGTATCATGCTTGCATACAACACACAAGAAACAGGTGGTGGTATGGTGTAACGCATCGACTAGCTGCGCCTCAGCTTGCTCCTCTGCTTCACCACTGGAACATGGGGGAGGTGGTGTGAGGTGCAAGGGAACAACGGCAAGGGGATACAAGCAAGCGCACATGATGAAAGCATGTATGGTGAGGAGTGAGGGGGAAGGGGAGGGCATGAAAAGGAAGGGAAGGGTTGAGAAGGGATGGGGAACGGAAGGGCAGGGCAGGGAGGGAAAGGCAGGGATGGGGAGGGCAGGTGGGAACAGGGCAGAGGGTGGGGGGAAGGAGGGCTGAGGGTGGTGGGAAGGAGAGTGAGAGTGCGAGAGGACGGGGAGAGAGAGTGCGAGTGGACTGAGAGAGAGAGTGTGGGAGGAAGGAGAGTGAGAGTGCGGGAGGAAGGACAGAAAGAGTGCGGGTGCAAGGAGAGAGAGAGAGAGTGCGGGAGAAGGGAGAGAGAGGAATGGGAGCGTGAGGGTGGGAAGAAATGAGTTAGGGTGGTCAGGAATGAGATTGAGGGATAGAATGATATGTGGTTGGGAAGGAATGAGTGTGGGTGAGAAGGAATGAGGGAAGGTGCAAAGGAATGAGAGATGGCGGCAGAACGGAATGGGAGAGGGTGGGCGGAACAGAATGGGAAAGGCTGGCTGACGCGCAGGGCCCGCACTTGCGACGGGCATTTTCCCAACGAGCGAGGGTGACGAGCATGGGAAATACGGGCGACGGGGGGAACTGGCAGCGATAGGGAGAGGAAGGACACCTGGGCAGGGAGTGGAAGGACACACGGAGAGGGAGATTATGGGGGGAAGCAGGGAAGGGGATGGGGGGAAGCAGGGAAGGGGATGGGGGGAAGCAGGGAAGGGGGTGGGGGGAAGCAGGGAAGGGGATGGGGGGAAGCAGGGAAGGGGATGGGGGGAAGCAGGGAAGGGGATGGGGGGAAGCAGGGAAGGGGATGGGGGGAAGCAGGGAAGGGGATGGGGGGAAGCAGGGAAGGGGATGGGGGGAAGCAGGGAAGGGGATGGGGGGAAGCAGGGAAGGGGATGGGGGGAAGCAGGGAAGGGGATTGGGGGAAGCAGGGAAGGGGATGGGGGGAAGCAGGGAAGGGGATGGGGGGAAGCAGGGAAGGGGATGGGGGGAAGCAGGGAAGCGGATGGGGGAAACAGGGAAGCGGATGGGGGGAAGCAGGGAAGGGGATGGGGGGAAGCAGGGCAGGGGATGGGGGGAAGCAGGGTAGCGGATGGGGGGAAGCAGGGAAGGGGATGGGGGGAACGGGGGCAGATGCCGGGGAAAGAGCTGGGGGGAGGATGGTGGGGAGCAGAGAGGGGTTCGAAACGCTGTTCGATTGGGGTGGCGGAGGCGACAACGGGAGACGAGGGCCTAGAGGAGCAACTGGGGCAACGAGTTGCTGCGCGTGACGTCGGTTTCAGCAGGTGATCTACCCTGGAGCGCGAGTGAATGGTTGAGCGCGGGGCGAGGGGAGGAGAGCGCGTGACGAGGGGAAACGCGCGTGACGGGGGGAAACGCGCGCGACGAGGGGAAACGCGCGCGACGGGGGGAAACGCGCGTGACGGGGGGAAACGCGCGTGACGAGGGGAAACGCGCGCGATGAGGGGACGAGGGGTCAGATGCCGGGGAGAGAGCGCGTGACGAGGGGAAGCACGCTAACCCGGGCAGACACGAGTGCCTTGGGGCAGGCGCGAGTGACGAGGGCAGGCGCGATTGACGAAAGCAGGCGCGAGTGACGAGGGGGAGCGCGTTTGACGAAGCGCGGGAAACGTGGGGTAGCATGGTGATGCACTCGTTTGTGTGTCGGTACGGAAGAACGCACGTTCCGTGTGAGTAACGTGCAACGCCATACTAAAAATCTTCTGTGAAACTAGGCTTGAGCTGCCTAGCTATTGGCGCGACAGCGTGGGTAACGTAAGTTGCCGTAGAAAAAGACGTTATGGGTTCTAGCTTTTGAAGCACTGGCTTGCGCTTCCTACTTACGGGAATGAGTTAGGCAGACTATGAGTACTACTAGGTGATCAAGATATGTGAGAGGTGAACAGGGAAGCAGAGTGAGCGACGAGCGGTTCAGTTCTGCGATTGAGCACAAAAGCCAATCAGGAGAGAGTGTCGCAAGGCGTTGTCCCAGACTTACGAGAGTTCTCTCAAACAAAGTAGGGTAACCCTGTTTTTGGCGAGGTCAAGTTCAAGAATCTTGAACTTGAAAAAATCCATGCTGTACTCGGGCTTTAATTTAACAAATACTACTTGCTTGCATTCATCCACTCCCATGCCAATCATATACCGCAATGCAGAACTCAATGAGAACAGGTTATAGTGGAAAACTGAATAATCCACCACTAATTTCTCTGCTTGTACATCTGCTTGTACGTCAACCGTAAGCTCAAACCGCCCTATCCCCTTCATGAAATACCTAGACGCCAATACCGTATCAACATTCCAAGACGTGAGTTACAAATCAGAGTCGACATGCCACGAACATCAGCAAGAAGCATGCCGCATCCCATCAACACCTCACACCTACTGCTGCTTCTGCTGGCGAGCAATCTTTGCCAGGGCGCGCTTGCGAATGTCCACATTCTGACCCAACCGGATGATATTGAACAGTCCTTCAGGGAAGCGGTAGATGATCCCCCACATAACCCCGTGCGCCCAGTAGGGCGTGCACCGCACCTCCTGCCCCACCCAGTTGGCTCCGTGCTTCGCATATAGGTCAGCGGATGGGCAGGTGAGAGACGCGTGGCGGATCTTGGACATCTTGGTGGCCACAAATAGAGGGGCCTGTGGATGGGAGCATCAGGCATAAGATAAGGCAAAAGAACAAGCATAGGGAGGAGGGAACGACTCATTATTAGACTTGTGCTGCGTGGCGGAACTTGGACACCTTGGTGACCACGAACAGAGGGGCCTGCGGGTTGGAAGGAGGACGGATGATTGGACCAGTGGGATCAATTGAGCCTTATGAGTCTAGAGAGAAACGAACTGTGGCGAATCCTAGACACTAAGGTAGCCACGAACAGAGGACCTGGGAGTGGGAAGCACTAGATGAGCTTAAGGAGAAGCGACTCATAAATGGGTTAGAGAAGGGGAAGGGGAAGGTGAATGGAGGCTCGACAATAAGACGTGAATGCGAGTGGGAAATGGCGTAGGGGAGAGGTTTAGGGTGATCAGAGCAGAGGCAGATGCGGTGAACAAATGGCCAAGATATGATATAACGCATCAAGTATGGTCGTGAGACGATGAAACGAGTGGTTTCAGGCAAAAAAGGGATGGGCGAATGTAAGAATTTGAAAAGACAGAAATCAGGTTCGCTAATCCAAGGCCCCCTACGAGCCCTGGTATGAGGCATGGAATGGAATGACAGCTCGCCAAAAGGGGAACCCCGAGTGAAAGACGTAGTTCAACCGTTCGAGCAACGACATGGCGGTTAGTTATAGGAGTCAGGATTAAAAAGATGGTCACCTTCCGGATTTTCTTTCACTCTGTCACGAGCGTTGATGTAGCAAAAAGGGGAAATTTACACAATTGCACTGAAGGTTCAACTCACAGTAGCTTTCTTTCGAACTTTGTTTTCTCCGCATGTTAGACAGCGTGTCGCGTGGGCTCCTGCACTGACTGTCAGAGCGGCTCACTTGAACCGGCTCACTTGAACCTGAACGTCAATCCCCTGGGACGTAAATCCCCTTGGATGCTACTTGCGGCGCCTTATGATTTTGCAGCGTGTCACCTAGGCTCTTGCGGCTCACCTGAACCTGGACGTCGATTCCCCTTAAAAGCGTGCTCCATGTCGATGCTGAGAGAAAATTGGTTCACGAACCTGGACGTCGATTCCCTTGGACGCTATTCATCATGCTAGTCACCTAAGCTCTTGCATTGACTAATGCTTACCTGAACCTGCACGTCGATGCCCTTGGATGCATACTCCATGTCGATGCTGCGGGAGAATTGGTCCACGAACCTGCACGCGAAGCCGGGAGCAGAGGAAAACATGAAGGAGAGGTTCCGTGAAAAGGAATACACACATGGTTGTCTTTTCATGACATTGTACTTGTCAGCAAAATAATGAAAACAAAAACGACGCCAACCGCTCACATTTTAACGAAAAGGGGAAAGCAGAAGACACGACTTAACATTCGTCGCCCTGGGAAGACTTACGCCTTGGTGCCGGCATAGACGGAATAGAGCGGATCGGACGGAATGACCGTTAAGTTTAGGATCGACTCAGAAGTCACCTTGGTGAGACTTACGCCTTGGTGCCGGCATAGACGGAGTAGAGCGGATCGGACGGAATGACCGTTGCGACACCCGATCCGATATTCACAATCGCGCCACGTTTCCTTTGAAGCATCTTCGGAATCACGATCTTGGTCAGGCGGACAATGGGCTCGATATTGATGTTGATCAGATCCGATATAAGCTTGTCCTCAACCTCGTGAAGGTACTGTGCATGCGGATAAGACATTCCGGCATTGTTGACGAGAATGCCGACTTCCAATTCGTCGACCAGCTTGCGAACTTGATCGTACGCTGCCGTCAGAGCCGGGCCGGGATTCGTGAAATCCGCAACGACGATTCGCGTGTCGACCTTGTACTTTGACGAAAGCTCGCTCGCGACGGCCTCGAGTTTCTCCTGGGTCCTGCTGACGAGAATCACGTTGATTTTCCGCTTCGCGAGCTCCTTCGCGAAACCCTTACCGATGCCGTCAGTGCATCCTGTAACAATCGCCCAGGAGCCGTAACGACGGAGGTTCTTGGCGGGGCGAAGGAAGAGAATCCAGATTCCGTTGAGGAAGGAAAGCAAGCCTGAGAAGAGCCATAGGAGACCGATTAATGCGAGGCCGATTACAAAAAGCTCCGAAGGCTGCTTGCTCTTAAGAACCTCCAACGCCGCGATAATTGGGCCCGGATCAGCCATCGGACTAGCAACGAAAAAGGAAAATAACTCCTGAACAATAGAGTCAGGCTGCCGAAGAGGTGGAAGCGAGCACCTAGGAATCTCGCACCAGCCTGAAAAGTAAGGGTGAGGGGGAACGGGGTGATCTTATGTCACGGAGTTCACAGTGATTTCTCGCGAAACAGCATGTTTTCCAAGTGGTTAACACGGGTGCTGAGAGATGTAATTCTTGTGATAGAATCTGCTTGACTTGGGCGCTCAAGCGGATGACAGATGAGGAAAGCCAGGAGGAGCTGGTGCAGGACACGATGACGGGATATGGACGAGATCGACGGTTGTTGGAGAGGATGGGATGGCGGGAAACGGGACGGAGGACCCAGATGTGTGGACCACGATTACGTGGATGGACACACGATAGGCCGCGATATGTTGTCAGAAGAACCACCCCGAATGCCGACTCAGTACAATCGCACACTACAAAGTACATGACATGATACTGATACAAATGGTTACATATTCGAGAGAACCAATCATATTGTAAGGAAATTTCCTTTTCCTTACTTCGCGCCCCTGCTTACCGCGTACATGACCACTCCCGCCAGCGGCACCCACAGTGAAAACGTTACCCGCTCACCTCGGCCACGACTCCCGCCACTGTTCGCGATGCGACTCAACCTAACGGTTCGATTAGTAACCCGCGCTCCGGACCTCCGCCTCGACAATTCCAAAACATAGGCGATGCCCGTAGCGCACTGTTGAAGTCTAGTCTAGTCTAGGTCACTAGAGTAGTGAGAACAAGTAATGTCGATTAGGTTGAGGGAGGGGGTACAAGGAAAGTATCGAGATGGTTCTATACCCCTTAAAGATAGCCCCAATGTAGCCTAGAGAAATGTAAACATAAACCTATATGTTTTGACACACCCCCATAGGCGAAATGGGGGATAGCCAGAGCAAAGAATAGTCACAACACCAGTCAAAAAAAGCAAACAAAGCAAAGCTCAGGGTGGATCTCAAGACCACCACGCAGTCTGAGCACAAGCAATCTGCCACAAGGCCAGTTCACATGCAGAGTTATAACAGCAAGGCAGTACACTGATTACAACCTAGCAAGAGTAAACAAGCAGGTATAAGAATATATATATCAGTGTACAACAAGAGCAAGTCAAGCAACCAGCAGGTGAGCCAGAGTAGGCACAAGCCCAAGAGCAGTGCAGAAACGCTGATGATCACCAGACCCAAGGGCCTTGGTGAAGACATCAGCAGTGTTGGCCCGAGAGGCCACGTAAGCAAGGCGCAGCTGACCACGCTGCTGCAGCTCACGCGCAAGGAAGTAGCGAATAGCAATGTGCTTCGTTCTGTGCTCCAGCCTCTGCTCGCGACACAAGGCAAGCATTGCCTTGTTGTCGACGTACAGAACTGGAGGAGAACGAGGCCGCTCCCCCAAGTCGGTCAGCAGGTAGGTCAGCCAGCGTAGCTCCTGTGCAGCCATGGCCCCAGCGTAGATCTCAGCCTCGCAGCTGGAGCTAAGCACAGAAGAAGAACGAGTGGACCTCCAAGAGACAGAATCAGAGCCAAGACTGAAGGTGTAACCCTGTGACGAACGCTGAGTCGCCTGGTCGTCAGCCCAAGAAGCGTCGGAGTGTCCTGTGAGGACCACTGAACCCCGTCCTCCAAGCACGAGCCCCATGCCCGATGTACTGCACAAGTAACGCAGTACCCTCTTCGCAGCATCAAAGTGCACCTTTCGGTGTCTACCAGGTGCCACGTAGCGAGTCAGGAGGCTGAGAGGGTACGCGAGGTCAGGTCGTACGCACGTCATCAGGTACATGAGGCAACCCACAAGCTCTGTGTACGGACCACTCGGCTCTACGGACTCGTCCAAAGG